TCATTTGGGGGCGATTACAAGCAGACATGTGGTAGTATTTACAAGTATCCATTTATAACATCATGAAAGTTCGTCTATAGTATTAAGTTGATCGCCTGACATCTACATTGGTGAGCTAATCAGTTTATGAATAGGAAAATTCTGATGTCAGCAAACCAAAATCGCACAAAGACTGCAGTCATTTATTTATTTATCCTTCATTTACTTTAATCTATCTCTTTGATGATAGGAAATATATCACAGAATAATGTATAAAGCTGATTTCGACCAACCTCTGACTCTGGAACATATGAGAACGATCGACAATTAAAGACGGAGTTAAGTCGGAATTCAAACTGGTCCTTTGTACCAGGTGTTCATGATAAATGTTACGTAGTGCCTTGAAAATCACATACACAAACGACATACTTCAGTTAGCTCGTAGTTGTTTCTATCATTTTGGAGAAAAACACATTGGCTAAACAACATTTGACTGGCTTGTGTATTCTAATCAGCTTCACGTATAATGATATACGAAGAGCACGTAGCACCAGATATTCGTCACAAAATTTATATTCACGTCATTTTATGCAGTCATTTCTGAGTGCTATTCGAACTGTATACTTTGTTTATTTCACTAAATACTCTTATCGAATTTCAGGATGAAAGGACTGGTGTTGACATTGGTGCAGAAATATTGTTATTCATTGTAAGTTAAACTCATCCAAATTTTTTCTCCATACATAAATACGTCTTTCATGTTGGCGAGAACACGAACAAGGAAGAGTTGAGCAGAATGACATGAATTCATTCAGCTTTGTTTGCACCTGCATAACTCCTTAACACAGCATTAATCTGCATATACCCGGAGGCCGAAAGGTCAGTTTTGAATAGAACAACATGTTGAGTAATCGAACAACTAGATGTTTGAGCTCTATGAATTTCACTTACTTTCAGAATGATTACTGTCAGGGCTGTAAGCATCTGACGAAAACCAAACGAAACAAAATGAATTCATATTATTCAGCTGACGACTGTCACATTGAATATCCATCTCCTTTCGTATGAATATGGATCAGAAGAAATTGAAAACAGTAAACAATTGATTAACTACGTGCCTAAATATGTTATATCAAAATTCAGTTATTCTAACCCATAGATGAAAGAGAACACTGATCCTTCAAGTTACAGTAAATTCATTTTCCGGTTTAGAAAAATCCATCAGGTGTCGTAGAAAACCACCGCTTGAACGTCGCAGTCCTGTGATTGATTTCAACTCCATGTGAATGAACACATAACTAGTTTTGAATCGAGTGCTTCACACAATCATACATTTATCACCTGAATTTGACAATCTGTTCTCCTTCGTCTTCAAAATTAACGCTTCTTTTACAAACATTTAAGTTTGAATTGCAAACATTCGATACAGAAAATTGGTTTTGACGTAATTGTTCATCTATACAGTTACTGTTATTTTATTAAGTTACGACTGATGAGTTTTCCATTTATTTTACAGATAACAATATTTGTTAGTCACTTGACTGTTGGAAAATCACGATATCTTCTCTTCTATCCAAATTATGCTTTGGCATCAATATTCTTGTACACTATGTTTTTCGCTAGTCTATCAGTCAATACTGACATGTTTAGACGCTTTCGTAATGAAAGTTCAATAGTCCAGTTTTAATCGACATAAACATTAAGCTTTGTCGATTGTTGCTTGTTTATCGTTGTTTCTTTATTCGTGTTGACCTGTGAACAATGTATTGATTGAAGGTGTGAATAATCACAATCTTTTGTAAAATGACAATATATGTGGTTCTGGTTTTAAGTAACATCAGTTGATGTACATGCTTATTTCCTAGTAGCCTTACGTTTTTATTTGTAATTACAAAAGTGAATAAACATTATGTAATGCTATTGTCTGTGTTTATCATTCATTAATGTGCTGAATCGATTATAGAAAGGTAAGATTATTTTCCATCTTCATGCTGCATGCTGTTCGAAATCTGATCGTGGTACATGCTAACACCTCAAACTTATAGCTTGATGGTGGAGACCAGAGTGAAGAAGAAATTCGATTTCACTAACAAATCAATACATATAACCGTCAGTGTATATTCTGAAAATAATAATTACAGAGTTTAACCAAGTTTAAAGGCATGGTCAAGTAAAGAATCTACAAGAAAATCGCTTCATTATTGGTCTGAGTATTAGAGGGACCAAACATTTCGTTATGCTATATTCTCTCTTGTAGAATAGGAAGCTTCGATAGCTGTAAGCTATGCTAAAATTGATTAAAAATATTCTCACTGAGTGAGAATTCAGAAAGATGGTCACCAACCTTTTTCCGTTTACGTATTCGTAAGTGGCGTTGCATTCACAAGCCAATAAATGTGAGTGTCAAAATTATTCCTGACTTGAAACGTGTTTTGATGCATTAGGTGTTCCAAATGTCAGCGTAAATACCAGATTCTATTGGATAAAGCAGAAACATTCAGGCAAAGTAGTGGTAAATCAGGCTCACTACATTTAAATAGAATGACAGGATTGCCATCTCTTCCTTAACTGTTTCATAAGTTTAGGTAGTTCACAGTCGTACGGAACCCTTAGATTTACTAATCGAGTAGTTGTAGTCAGAAGAGGTCGGCGAGTCATGTACGAAGTAGAGGTAGTAGGCGTAAAGTGGTCGCGCCACCGAAATCAGATATGCGAACGGCTAGCCTCAGATCGTCCATCAAGAGCAGAAAATCATACCGTTGACATCTTGCTGGTTACATTCAGCCTACCAGCAACCACCGCACTAGAATAAACTCAGCCACATCCTAATCTCCGTTACTGAAGGTATCCACTCAGACGGCGGCGAACAACAGTAAAGATGCAAGTCGACCACAGGAGCGCACGCTATTAAAAGGGGAGAAGTTTTGAAGACGTAAGGTCCCTAGAACTCACCTGAATAATGTCTGTTTTTGAATTTATTCATGAGCTGATCATTTGATTCTGAGATCACATTTCCCATCAGGGGAATTCCTGGCTGTGATTGTGTACTTTGTCATTTTAGTGTGCTATTTTTTGACTCTGCCAAGGAAGTCTCTATGGTATATAGATATACGCGATTTGTGTGCTAGGATTCATTGTGTGCTGGTTTGGTGTTTGTAGAATACACTTCCTATGCTATATCAAGACTTCTTGCTTGGACATTTGGGTCAAGTGATCATAGTTGCCTATCTGGATGCCAGCTCATTGTTTGTTCTAGCAAGCATTCCGATCAACCGACCTACAGTAATGAAAAGCAACTTACTGTCGCTCACTCCCGAAAGATCGTGATAGTTTGACGACTGATCGCACGATCGCAAATAGGTATTCAAAATGATAGATACAATGAAAGCGCTTTACTGATATCTTTTTTCTTCGATGGATGAAGAAATATGTCTCGTTAATTCAATAGAAACCGCATTGGCTCCGTAAACACAGGAATTTAAAAAAATTGAAGAGAATATGGCACTAGTAATTGACGACCATATTACTTGTGACCTGTGGCTAGTACGACTGGTATATTTTTTGAGGACAGATGAGAATTAACTGTTTAAAACAGTGATGGCATGTATGAAAGTAACGGTGGTAAGAAGGGATGGATAAAATCCTTGCTTTCTGGAAAGAGGGAAACGATAAGATGTTAAAGCTTATGATTATGGATGTACAAGCGTACCTTTGGAAGTCCTGTAATTTACACTACTTTAGACTAATTGTTTAGAAGATGCAACCGCATATTACATGCGAAAGAAGGAGCATACTCAAGAAATACTTCAACACATAGTGATGGTTTGGACAGTATTTTCGCCACTTAGCACCTTGATCATGTTTTGTATTCGCCTTTTACTCAGGAGCCATGCAATTGATTGGAATGCTCTACATTCATAAACGGTTATCCGTAAATTCGTTGTTTTGTTAGCCCTACGTTCAGTGCAAACACTGCGAATTTGTTTGTTAAAAAAGTTAGATCAGGAGACTTGTGAACTACACTATGTGACGATCTCATTACAAGATATTCATTGAATTTCATCCACATTCTAATCTTAAGTCCTCATAGAAATTTCTGGCCCGCAAATCCATATTGTTACCGTTGAATCCTACGAATGGGTTTGTTTAATAACGAGAATTACTTGAGCTTATATTGATTGCAGTAGTTATTGGAACACACAGATAAATGTACTTTAATCAGTTTCATTACAACTGGTTGTTGAAATGAGTGTGCGTGTTTTTTTATTTTATACAGACTATTACTTTGTATCAAAGTGTGTATTTTGTCAATAATATGAAGTACATGATGATTTCTACCTAATCGAGATCCAGGTAAATATAACTTCGAAAAATTGTGTATCAAATCTCATAGGTGATTTTACTTTGCTCTCATTGAAGTGCATATGTTGTCGTAATATAAATGTGATTCTGTTATGATGAACAGTGATTATATCTTAATTGTTAGGTAAGTTCACTTAGATATAGGTTTGTCAGTTAGTTATAGCCTATTTCATATAACATGTTACCGCAGTTTTAACGTACTTCCGAACGAAACGTTATGTGCATATAAGGAAATTAGAATTAGTATATTAACAGATGACGACAAAGGAGAAATAATACGCCGATTCAGAGTCATGTTTCAATGTCGTTATTTTTGATTTTTCAATAATAATCATTGGGTGGCCTATGCTCCATTGGGGGTAACAGGCGAAAGTAGGTAATATTAATCATTGTTATTATCAATAATCCCACATTCAAACTGTATGCTATAGGTAAGGATACTAACTCCACATGCTAACAGCCGTCGTTCTATGCTCACTAAGCTTACTTCCAAACTCATCAGCTATATTCAACCACGTCTGCTACACATAATCACACCAGTGTTGACATATGTGTGCTACATTTATCTCACTAGTGTTCTGAGATATGAAGGTACACGATTCCTAACATTTATGAGTTTTGATTGGAACATTTAAACAATTTTGTAATGACATTTGCTATGATAGGAAAACAATGACATCAGCGTCTCTTGTTGTTCCAAGTATTCCATGGATGGACAGTTCAATGTGTAAAGTGAATAAATTGACGATAGCTGATCGTTTACTGATTATATCAACATACACAAAAACAGTACGCTGTGGTTTTCGAATAATGCTTGTTTTTGATCACAGGTCTTAATGCTTGCTACAATACAAATATTCATCACACTTTACGCTGTGATTATCTCATCTATAATGTAAGTTGCTCGATAAACAAAAATATTATTCTTTTCAGTATTCACTATAGACAGTTTGAAAAAGATTACGTTATACAGTTAACTGTTGCTGTTATATCTGTGTAAGCTTATCAGTTTTCTTTCCATATTACTTCTAATCTGTCTAATAAATGAACTGAAAATTAATGTTATTTCAATTAATCAGTAGTCAATGGAAAAAACTCATGTCAGATTTGTAGTATGTTAGATTATATTTAAAAATTCTAAGCGTAATCAAGATTTCTTTGTACTGAAATCAATCAATTCATTTCCAGTTCACAAGCTCATTTGACATTTGAATAAACAACTATTTCCAATGACTTTGATGTGTGTCTGATCTCGTGGTTTACGCGAATGATTTCCTTCATTCTGATTTCCCATTGTGCCACCAAGTAACATCAATCAATATTTCGCTATTAGAAATCATCCATAGTTAGACTCCAACATGTTTCCAGTCAAATTATTTAAACTTCAATAGACGTAACTGAGACTTTGTTGATATCAATCAGTAGTCTAAACTACATAACATACGTATCTTCATTTTTTAATCCCATATTCTACATTCATAAGTGAAATCGGAGACCAAATCATTTTAGAAGTCGTTTTGTGACTGAAAAACCTGACAATAAAGTAATTCATTTCATTCCAATGCATGAGCAAATACATGTGCCTATTAACAAGCACAGTATCATTCTCAGGTTATTCCAATTAGCATTTTCAAATATTTTCTCGTTCGTTTACGCATCGCTCAAACCCTACATAATATTTATTTCTGTTCTATTTTGTAGTCTCATCGCTTTTTTGATAGCGCTACTTATTGCAGTTGTGAAGAAGATCAGTGAAAAATATCCTCTGAACGTTGTATTTGTGATCTTTTATGTAAGAATCGCTAACAAATGTTCATTATACTAAATATTTCGTTTGTTTTGTTTGCGAGTAGGAAAATTGTATGTAACCACGAAATCCAACAAGACTACATCTCTTACAAGATAATGTTTATCACATCCGAGAGGTTCTAAGATTGAAGTAAATCTTCCATCTGCTAGGATGTTCATTCCTTTGCACGTCTGACAACAATCAGTTCTGTTCCTTAAACACTATACCTCAGAAAATAAACAAAGACATGGTCACGTACTCAGCTTTTCTAACTTCCTCTCATTCAGTTTAAGGAGAAACAAACAGCCGTGCAACAGAATGTTGTGTTGGAGATCTTCATTTGCTTAAGTAAACGTTGTTCGAAAACGATCAACTGAGCAGCCCTGACAAGAAATGCATGAAAGAAATCAGATCTAGTAGACCTGTAATCACACTGATCCACAGATTTATTTCAAGCTTGTTTATTCATCTTTTCCAGATATACATAAATTATCCTCCTCTTACTGGTTGAAACTCCAGAATCTCCAACATTCCCTGGATTAAAGCATGGACTATGTCGTCGTTGTTTTTAACGGGACTGCAAACTGCGACTGTTTTTATTGTTTCTTTTTGATTAATCTTCATTGATTTCGCAAGTGAAAATGATTCTGTTTCACGTCATTTTTTGAGAAGAGACTTGCACACTGAATTTAATATCTTTTATATTCAAATTGAACCGTATGCGTTTCGTTGAGGAAATGCATATGGCAAAGCTGAAACGTGTTCGAACGATTATCATTTGCTGAAGCTCTGAAATTAGACGAGCAACTAAACAGTGTTCTCAAGAAGAGTGTTTTTCAAGTATCAGATCTACTTGCCTCAAATCTGAAACTGTTCTCTCAGGAAACCGAACAGGCATTTATCCAGTGAATAAGTTCACATCAATGTGATGACTAAGAATACTTCAATCGTCAGTGAATGGATTCAGTTCTAACTACAATATTTAATCTATTTTTCAGTCTATTTTCATGTCCACAGCACTTGGATTTTTGAATACAGAGTTATGTATTCTTCTTACTCTAACTGCCTTTGGAATCAGCATGACAATCTTCACTTTTGCATTACTGATTGGAGCAGCGATAAAGACACGTTTAGTGGATCACTCAGAAGTTATTCTAATATCACTTGGTGTTATATCGATTGCATTGCTGATAGTTTTGATCGCACTCAACGTTTTAGGATTCCAGGTATCTCAAAAATTTAATTTGATTCAATAATAGATCATCTCATTTATCAGTGCAAAGTATTTAATTTTGTTACGGGACTAAAACAATTGTTTCATGTATGAGATGCCTGAATCATTAAATCCTCATTGATCTTTAGCATTCAAAAACAGCATACAATAGAGCTCCGAATGCTTTCAATCGAAATTCAGACAGATCAAATCAGCTATTCATTTAGGTAGATAGTACATGCAAACATGCTGTGATATTTACATGCTTTCACATTTAAACTACTGTACGTTTGAGTCTTTTTTTGTGTGAGGTTGATCACCTGCAATCTACGACGGTTAGCCAGTTGGTTAACCAAGTGTAAAATACTCTTGTAGAAAAAACAAAATTACACAAACACTAAAATCATTTATTTGTTTATCCTCTATCTACTTGAATCTATCTACTTATTGATCGGAAATTTATCACTTAGTAGTGTTTGAAGCTAATATCAACGGATCTCTGACTGTGGCACATATGGACACCATCCACGTTCATCGGAACAATAAAACAAGGGGTTTAGTCGGTCATCTGTACAAGGTGTTTATAGGGAACGTTACATTGTGTCTTGATGTAATCACATACAAGAAATACACACTTCAGTTAGCTGGTAGTTTTTTCTATCATTTTACGGAGAAACACATTGACTTAACAAAATTTGCGTTATTTTAAACTGCTTCACATATAATGATAAATGAACAACGCTGAAAATAAAATAATCGTCACAAAATTCATATTCACATCATTTCGGGCAGTCTTGTTTGAGTGTCGCTGAAACTGTATGCTACATTAATTTCAAAAATACAAATTCACTTAATCGTTTTATCGATTTTCAGGAATGGGTGATCTATGTTGCCGTAGGTGCAGAAATATTGCTATTTATTGTAAGTAACACTCATATGCACTTTATTTCTTATACATGTTGACGATAATTTGAGCAGAATGTCATGAATTCCTTCAGCCTCGTTTGCTTCTGACAATGTGTATAACACTGCATTATTCTGGATTAACACAGAAGCGAAAATGTTACTGCTGAATGAAATAACATGTTCAGTTACTGTACAATTAATTGTTATAGCTCTGTGTATTTAGCGTATCAACATATAAGCTGCTCGTTCAATGGAATTCACCTAATTTGACTGAGGTCTTCAATGAATACCAATGAAATGTAACATAATGATATGTTTGCACACCTCAACATTCCAATTTATAGGTTGCTGGAAGAAATACAACAGTGTTTGGTGTGATTGAAACTTTACATGTTGAGTGATTGTAGATTCCGGCATACTTCACACGGTAGACACATTGACTGAAAAATGTAGAACTGGTCATCGATGTACGTCGTTTAAATATTCATCAAACCACGATAGGTACATGAAACAAGATAGTAGTTATCACACTGGATATTCATCTCCTTCAGTCTGCCTATGTGTCAGAAGACATTGATAACAGTGAAATCTTGACTAACTCCGTGCCTAAATATGTTATATCATGACTGTGATATTCTAACACTGGTTCTACTCTTTACGTTATATTGAACTTCCGGTTTAGGAAAACGCATTAAATGTCATATAAAACTACTGTTTGAACGTTGTGCAGGAGCCGAACTGGTTTTGAAATTCTGTTCTCATTCCTCTTCATCATTAACATTTCTTTTACAAATTTCGCAGAAATACAGTCAGTCATTTTACCTTGATTAACGGACATCCAATAAAAAAATTCTTTTGGATGCACTTTATTACTTTCGTTTTACTAAGTTACAACTAATAAATGCTGCATTTATTTTACAGATAACAATATTAGTCAGTCATTTGACAGTTGGAAAATCACGATATCTTCTCTGCTATCCAAATTATGCTTTAGCATCAATATTCTTGTACACTGTGTTTTTCGCTAATCTGTCAGTCAGTACTGGTTTGTTGGACAGTGATTATAATGCGAGTTCAATAAGCTGTTTCGAATTAACTTAGAAACTGAGCTTCATCTATTGTTGCTTGTTTCCTTATACTGATTGAATATGTGAGTAATTACAAATATAGGTCAAATGATAACGATAAATGATTCTGATTTTAAAGACGATGATTTCCTGGTAGATTTACATTTTAATTTGTAATATTATGGAAATGAATAAAAGTAATGTATTGGTAGCAAGCATTCATCCATCACTTTACTGAAGTGATTATTACAGGGAAAAATTGACCGTTGTCGCCAAGAATTATTATTATCCAAACATGATATGTGCTAACACTATAAACTTGTAAATTTTGATAGAATAGTGAGAAGACGTAATCGATCTGAAAAATATGATGTATTTGCGCAATACATTTCGATCTATCTGGTCACACATATTTAGTTGTCAAGGCATTTAATTTGATGATTAATAAAAGGTCATTTAAATAAAGGTTTGAATGTATATAAGGTGATAATTGTAAATAAAGGAGAGAGAGAGAAAATTTACGTTATGTACTGTGGAGTCCCAAAACAGGACGAAACGGCCGTCCAGTGCTTTCAGGTTTTCAATGGCGGTCTAACATTGATAGATTCATGGTTTCGAAAATATGAAAAGAATAAGAAACGGTAGGATAATCGATTACCAGGGTAAATTGTTTTATGAACTTCCAGCTTGACAGACTGGAGAAAGAAATCTGTTCAAATAATATGAACATATTCTCGTCTATGGATATTCTGAAAATAATAATTACACCATTCAAGCCAGCTGACGATCACGGTCAAGTAGATAGATGAAGGATAGTTCTGTCTGGTCTACCACGATTCAAGTCCGAGGTTAGTGTATAACTTCACGTTCGCACTAAATACAAGCACAGTAAAGTCAGAGTAAATATCAGATTCCAGACGAGAAATCGAAAACATTAAGATAAAATAGTGGTATATCAGGTCAACTGCATTAGAACATGATGACAGTAATCCCGTCTCTTCCTTAAATGTTTCAGAAGTTTAGGTAGTTGATTGCCATGCTGATTATTAGATAAGTGAAGGACACAGAACGTTTTGATTCACTAGCCACATGATTGTGGTCAGAAAAGTTGGGCGAGTCACGTACGAGGTAGAAGTAGAAGGCGAAGGGTGAAAACAGATATGCAAACGGCTAGCCCTAGTTCGTCCATCAAGAGCAGCAAATCTTCCCCTCGATATCCTGCTTGATACCATCAACCAACCGGCAGCATCCCCACATGGGGAGAAACTCAGTCACAACCTGAACTCCATCAGTCGATAGCATGACAAGTGGTATTTCGGAGTTTCATTATGATCCTGTCACCAATATTACATTTGATACTTGATACAGGCGTTATGGAGATCTCTTCAAAGTTGAATTTGCTGATAGTTATGATTCATGTATGGTTCCTCTTCTCCTTGAAAAATTCGGTCCGTCGAGACTGGACCAGTATTGCAACTTCACCCACGAGACCGGTAATTTGATGCCACGTTTTAGTCCCTCAGCAAACTTTTCGGTGATCAGCAGGCCCTTTTCATTACTCGTTACCATTGCATGAAACTGGTTATGAATCGGTCTGATGACTCCATGATCCATGCTGCCATTATCATCCGTGAGTGCGAACGTTTTAAACTCAGATCCCTCACTTATGACAAGCTCAAATCCCTCATATTTATATGCAGTTTTCAATCATCCGAATTCTCCGAGATCAGAATTCGGTTGCCTAACCGCCTTGAACAAGACGCAACACTGACACTCGATGCAATTACTGATGAGTACTAACGCATATCAAATTGCAGCATAACGACAGTTTAGTTCAGTCTGGGGACCGGGGTGGTTCCGAAGTTCATGTTGTTCACAAACAGTTACCTAACCTTAATAAAAGTGTCCATGCTACACCCAGTTCATCTCACTTCAGCTCAGTCCAAAAGTCGAAAACGAATCCTACAACTCCCCACAGCCACAGCGTCTCATGGCGCTATGTAAGAAACTGCCCATTTAGGCAACATAGACGCCGGTAATATAAGGTAATAGTTTTAAGCATACCTATAGACGAGTGGAATAAGTGCGCCGGTATGCATGCACACAATCGAATAGACAGTAATCGATACTGTTGTCGAATTTATACAATTATATACATTGGTTGATACAATTATCAAATGATTCAAATGACCAATCAATCAAGTTATTATAATGGATGAATGTTGAGGTGCAACAACAGTATTTGCGTTAGCTCATAGCATTTGTTCCATTAACGTGTAAGCACACTTTCTTCTAAACCCTGTCACTGTTATTCCTAGTTTCGCAAGTAACTGTAACCTTTATTTTAACGCAAAAGACGACACAATTGTGTGCTCTCAGACCCTATCAAGAAGTAAATCTGAGCAGGCTCAGTTGTGCGCATAGTGGTAGTTCCAGCCCGAAGTCTTCTTCGTCGCCCAATTCGTTATCACACTAATAAGGACGAACTCAGTTTATTGCAAAAACCCTGTATTTTAGCATATCTGGGACATTACAATTTCATTTACAGAAGTGTTCGCTCTAATGATAAAGTAAGTCCCGAATCCTTTCATAGAGGATTTTCACTTTGCATACTTGGAACTCACTGGAATCTTACTACGAATCCATGTATAATTTAGGGTTGTGCGTAAAACCCATTTGACAAGTGAGATTATACGAACCCCAAATATTTGATCACTCTATAGCTCAGCCAACTAAATCATTTGATTAGTTGCGGATACAGTTGACTTACACTACTGCTAGTGGAGCTAACGCAAACACATAAATCATACAATAAACTTGCACTTGAATCTCGGTGGACCTGAAGGAACTATTGAGTAATCATTGCTTTTATTGTTCCATACTTTCTGCTTTCATTTTATTTTCTGTAGTGTTTTATGATTTCAGACAATCTCATAAGGCACTGAAAACGATAAAGCTACGTCTGTCATACGAAGACAGGAAGTCAACCGAGAAAGAATTATTAGTTTCTGAATGATGCCTTGCATAGTTATAATAAATGTTAGAAACATTCCGCCATGAAACTTTCCCATCCAGAACACTTCAAGCTATGTAAGAAGACATAACTGTCCACAACATTGATTGTTTGTTTGTATATCAAGCTGACATTGCCCTGAAACATTCATAGTGTGGTTTTTCTGCAATTCCTCTCGACCTTCTTCATTGTTTAGTATTCGCTTTTACAAATTCGTTGTCTTTATGATGTTCCGAAGTCTCCTCAATCATTATTACTAAGTGAAACATCTGACATGAAATCGCAACAATCTTTCTGAAGTTGAAGATTATTTACAGAATGACGTTCAGTTACGGAATCGGCAGAAACGATTTTTATATCAATTACTGTATTACACGCAACTTAATCTCCATGTCTTGTGTGGATTAAATAGTCATTCAAATCACCAACGTTATCTATAGGGTTGTGCATTATCTGAACTATATTTCTTGTAGATGATTACCACTGGTTTACTCAGTATGTCTATACTTGTGGTGATGTTTTACAAAACAAATGAATTCGACCTATTTGCGATTTTGATGGTTTAGCTGGACTACCTTGAAACTGCGGATGTTAGAGTCTAAGAACTATGAAAATCTGCTTTACCCATGTCTTAACCCAGGCGTTATCTTGAATACTTCGTTGGAGAGAAATGGACTGAATTTACAAGATGAATTAGGTGCACAAGCTGGCACATTTTGGTGTCGAAGAAATATTGAAACGTGCTGAACATTAAACCAACGTTCCCAGCAACCAAACCAAGATGGCGGCCACGAAAAACGAAGCGCGTGAGCGTAGTATAACGTCAGTGTATATATAAAAAGTAAAAAGACCATTCCATAAAACAGAAGTACACACAAACAATATTCGGTAAAACGTCCACTGGCATAATTAGTTATCATTAGGAATGTTGCAGTTTAACCGTTCGTGTTTTTCGTGATATATGTGAATTCATTACAGCAGCGCCTAGCAAGAGTTAGTGAGCACTTTCTTTTCGTAGTTGTATCCTTTGTGGAACTGATCAGCGAACATGCGCTTGTAGGAAATACAAGTTGACAAACTGGAAGCGATTCATGATAATCGAGACTTCACTCAAAATCTTTTATGTCAAATGGTACCAAGAGTACCGTGTTACTTTTGCTGCTTGGGCTGACGAGTCTTTTCATTTGTTGGTATCCATGATGAAAAAATGGTTTCCGTAGGTATTCGCCACAGACGAATGAGGAAATCCGAAAAACGGCAGCGAACAAAAATCAAAAAAGCATAATTTTAGTTTTGTGACGATCGACATTATTCGGCATGAATCATCAGGTATGCAGGCCAAGTAGTATTATTGTATAAAGGTTATGAAGAGAAGAAGAACACTCTTTCAATTTCTAACTGATATCAGCATCAGTCTCAGGCTACCAACACCGCACGATCGCAAACGGGTATTCCAAATGATGAAGACGCTGAAAGGGCCTTGCTGATATCGTTTTCTTTGATGGATGAAGAAACATGTCTTGGTAATTCTATAGAAACAGCAATAGTTCCGTAAAAAACAGAAATTTAAAAAACGTTCAACAGAATATGACACTAGTAATTAACGACCATATTAATTTTGACCTGTGGTTAGTACAACTGAATTATAAGTGGAAGACAGTTGCGGATTAACTGTTAAAAACTATGATGGCATTTGTGAAAGTAACAGTGGTAAGAAGGAATGAATAAAATTCTTCCATTCTAGAAAGAGGCAAACGACAAGATGTTAAAGCTTATAATTATGAATGTACAAGCGTACCTCTGTAAGTCCTGTAATTTACACTACTATAGACTAATCGTTCAGATGAGACAACTGTTTATTATCTGTGAAAGAAGGAGCATACTCAAGAAATGCTTCAACACATAGTGATGTATTGAACAGTATTTTCGCCTTGATCATGTTTTTTATTCGCCTTTTACTCAGGTTCTATGCAACAATATTTCAGGTTTCTCAATAATCAGTATTCCACTTAAGTTATTCTCGACCAAGTTTATTTAATTTTATTGTTGTCGTTACTGAGCTATTGAGAGTAAAGCCATGTTTGAATAAAATCAAGGTGACTGAATGTTTGCCTTGATGATTATTGATATTTGACTGCCGATCTGATTCCAGTGTTTTTCTGTCCCATCTAGTTGGAAATAAACTTGTTGATTCTCAGATACAGACCACATATTTATTACTCATTACTATATCATCGATTATGTTGAGCAAAGGAAACTATTATATGTGCAACACATGCAATAACATTCACTGTTTCACTTCATCTCTGAAATTAGAACTTATTGAATTGAGCACACAGATTGCGTTTTCATTTAATTGATGAAGAGTCAATGGAAAACGATTCGAGTGCTCTACATTCATAAACGGTAATCCATAAATTCGTTGTTTTGTTAGTCTTACGTCCAGTGCAAACACTGCGAATCTGATTGTCAAAAAAAGTTAGTTCAGTAGAATTTTGAACTTCACCATGTAACGATCTCATTACAAGATATTTATTTAATTTCATCCACATTCTAATCATAACGTCCTCAAAGAAATTTCTAGCCCGCAAATCTATAATGTTACCGTTGAATCCTAAGAATGGGTTTTTTTAATAACCAGAATTAACTGAGCTTATATTGATTGCAGTTTTTATTAAAACTCACAGATAAATGAACTTTAATCAGATTCAAAACAACTTGTTGTTGAAATGAATGTGCGTATTTTTTAATTTTATGCAGACTATTACTTTGTATCAAAGTGTTTATTTTGTCAGTAGTCTGAAGTACATGATTTCTACTTAATCAAGATCCAGGTAAATATAACTTCAAAAAAATTGTGCATCGAATCTTATCGGTCATATGACTTTGCTCTCATTGAAGTGCATGTTTTGTCGTAATATAAATGTGATTTTGTTAAGATGAACAACGATTATATCTTAATTGTTAGGTAAGTTCACTTAGATATAGTTTTGTCAGATATAGTTCATATCGTATAAAATTATATCTCAGATTCAGGAAAATTTCGAACTAAACGTGACAAACAAATAAGGAAGTTAGGTCTAGTGAAGTACCAGCCGACCACAAATGAAAAATATGAAAACAATTTAGAGTTGTGTTTTGATGTTACGATTACTACTCATATTACTAATATTGATAATGTAATTATTAGTATTACAGTGAAAACTTAGTTGATATGTAGATACACTTACTCCACATACTGACAGTCGTCGTTCCATCTTGATTATCTTTAACTCTGAACTTTTCAGTTTGATTTAAATATGTGTGCTGCAAAGCATCTCACTAGTGTTCTATAATATGATCGTTTGAACAATCAGAGACAAGACAATAAACACGTTTATATCTCCTCAAATTTGAAGGTTCCTTTTGAGTATTCATCGGAACATTTAAACAAATGTGTAATGACACTATTTATGATAGGCAAATCATGACATCAGCGTCTCGTGTTGTTCCAAGTATTCCATGGATGGACAGTTCAAAATGGAAAGTGAATAAACTGACGAAAGCTGATTGTCTACTGATTGTATCAGACTATACAAAAACAGTACGTTTTGAATTCGAATAATGATTGTTTATTATGACAGGTCCTGTTACTTGCAGCTATACAAATATCCATCTCATTTTGCGTTGTAATCATCTCATCTGTAATGTAAGTTGACTGGTAAACAACAATGTGACTTTTTTAGCATTAGGAAAACAATAGATCCAATTTCCCCAAAGAAACAGTTAATTGTTACTGTAATATCTGTGTAAGTTTATCAATATTCTTTTCATACCACTTATAATCTGTCTAATAAAAGAACTGGAAATGAATGACATTCCAATAAAATATCAATTGCAAATCAGTATTCAATGGAAATAATTTTGTTAGATGAGTACTCTGTTGTACCACATCCTTACATTCGTTCTGGTTTCCAGTTGTGCCACTAAAAAATATCAGTCAATATTTCACTATTTGACACAGTCCATTGTTCAACACTTGAGGTTTAACTTTCAAATTAGCAACAATACATAACATTTGACTCATGTTTAGACAAAACAATTGAGATTTTGTTGATATAAATGAACAGTCTAAACTATATATTATACGCATCATCATTTCGGATTACTTTATTCTGCATTGATGATACAATCCCGTGATTGACAAAACGGACATGAAGGCAATCCACTTTACTAGAAAGCATGAGCAAATAAATGGTGCCTATAAACAAGCATAGTGTCATTCTCAGGTTTTTCCCATTAGCATTTTCAAATATTTCCGCTTTTGTTTACACATCATTTACAGCTTATGCCTTATTTATTTCTGCTTTATTTTGTAGTCTCATTGCTTTACTGATAGCACTAGTTATTGCAGTTTTGAAGATGATCAGGGAAAGCTACCCTCTGAATTTTGTGTTCGCCATCTTTTATGTAAGAATCATCATCAAACGTTCATTATTCCAGATTTTTTGACTGTTTTGTGTGAGATTAGGAATAATGTTTGTGACCAGGCAATCAAACAGGACTGTACGTTTGGCAGGATAACGTTTGTCACATCCAATTTTCGAAAGATACTCAAATTGAAATAAATTTTCGATCTGCGTCGATGTGTACACCATAATTTGCATTCACAGTGCTCTATACATTGCACGTATTAGTATAATCAGTGACTAATCCTTCATGCCAAAATTCACAGAAAACAAACAAAACATGGTCACGTACTGAGCTTCTGTAACTCGGTTTCTTGAAGTAGGAATAGAATTCTCGTTTACTTTCCATTGTGCCAGAAACATAAAAGCCATGGAATAGAATGTTTTGCTGGAGATCGTGATTTCTCAAGGTGAATGTTGTTTGAAAAAGACCATCCGATCAAACATGCCAAGAAAAGCATGAAACACAGTCCGTTCCATTTGGTTTCGTTCATAAAAATCTGATATTCGTATGTGACAAAACTTCCAACACACTTTTATGTTGGTATTCGAATTTTCTTAAGTGAATTTTCTGCGCAACACGTCAGCAACAAACACTCACTGATAATAGTTGTTTGCTTTATTTGTAAGTGTTAGGCCCCCTCTCCGAGTTGCCTAAAAGTATATCAATCAGCCGAATTGTTCTCATGCGACAGAGTAAGCACACCTTAGCAAGAGATGGCTTTCAACATGGACAGAAATACCACACTAATTTTGATCCTGTTGAAGAAATAAAGAAGTGATTATCTGATTTATTGTTGGATATTTGACTGATTCTATTCACTCCACTGATCGATAGATTCATTTTCAGCTTGTTTATGGGATTTGTCCTATTCTACCAATAATTCCCCACCTCAAAATCGTAGAAGCAGTAAAACTCTAACATTCCATGATATGAACAGGAACTGTGTGCACGGTAAAAGCTTGTCTCATCGTTGTCCTCAACATACTTACATACCAAGATGTTTACTATTTATTTATTTTAGTTCATCCTCAATGATTTCGCATTGTAAAATGTTTCAAACTCTCCTCATCCATTGAGAAGAGAAATGCCTCTCGACTGTTATCTTTTCGATGTTTAGAAGGAACCATCTGTGGTTAGTTGACACAACATAATGGAAAACTGCGATAATTTCTTTAAACTGAAAAATGTCTGAACGATTATCATTTACAAATTGGACTCACAACTATACAGTGTTTTCCGAGATAACGCGATCCATATATCAGAACTGCTCATTCTGAATCCGAAGTTGTTCTCTCAGTTATTTGAATAGCTATTTATCCACTAGTAAGTGATTTTTGAAAAGTTGCACATCAATGCTATAACACAGAAAACTACACTCGTTAATGAACAAATTCATTTCAAACTGTAATATTCATTCTATTTTTCAGTCTATTTTCCTGTCTACAGCACTAGAAGTTTTGAACACAGAGTTTAGTATTCTTCTTACTTTAGCTGCCTTTGCAATCAGCTTGATAACCTTCACATGTGCATTACTGATTGGTGCAGCAATCACGACTAGTTTGGCGGATCACGCAAGAGCTATGTTAATATTATTTGGTGTTATATCGTTTGTATTTCTGGGAGTCTGGATCGCGCGCAACGTTTTGCAACTCAAGGTATATCAATAACTGGATTTAATTTACTAATAGATCATTTCATTGATAGATAAAAATTATTTGAGTTTGTTACACGACTAAAACAATTGTTTCAGGCATGAAATGTCTGAATCATTTTATCCTTATTGATGATAAGCATTCAGCACCTGCAAGCACTAAAGTTATGGATGTTTTTCTTTGAAATGCAGAAAGATTAAGTCAGTTTATCAATCAGGTTAAGATTACTTGCAGATATGTGGTGGTATTGACATATTTCCAAGCTTAATATTTTTTATGTTAGAGTATGTTGTTTGACGTTGATTGCCTGTCATCAACGTTGGCGAGCCACTGTGTTTATGAAGAGAAAGAAAAATACTATGGACAAATAAAATTACACAATCACTGCACTTACTTACTTGTTTATCCTCCCTCTACATGAATTTATCTATTTGGTGATCGCAAATTAATCACACAGTAGTGTATTAAGCTAACTTCGACTGATCCGTGACTCTGGAATATAAAGAGACGATCCTCACAACAATTAAAGATGGGGTTGAGTCTGAATTTAAAAATGCTACTCTGTACAAAGTGTTCATGATAAATGTTACACTGTTTCTCCAATGAATCACATACACTAAGGATACACCTCTGTTAGTTAGTAGTTGTTTCTATCATTTCACAGAGTAACACTTGGGCTAATCTACATTTGACCGGTTCGCCTATTTCAAACAGATTCACTTATAACGATAAACAAACAAAGCTCAACAAAAATATATTCGTCACAAATAATTCATATTCACATCATTTTGTGCAGTTATGTTTGAGTGTTGTTAAAACTGTATAGTTTGTTGATTTCCAAAATACAAATTCACAAAATACTTTTATCAATTTTCAGGCAGCTGTGATGTATGTTGATATTGTTGCTGAAATATTGTTATTTTTTGTAGGTTATATTCATCTACACTTTATCTTTTATAAATAGTTCTATCAGTTATGTTGATGACAGCACAAACAAGGATGATTTCAGCAGAATAACATGAAACTGTCTTAATTGTATGGTTCTGATCAATTGCTTAACAACGCATTGATCTGGATGTACTCAGGGTACGACACATTATTATTAAATAAAAACAAAATGTTCAGTAACCAAACAACTAGTTGTTCCAGCTCTGTGTATTTACAGAATGATTAGTGTCAAGTACAAATTACCTGCTTGTTTGATGGTATTCATCTTAGGTGATTGAAGACTTTTATGAATACCGATCAAATGTGACAAGATAACATGTATGTATACTTCAACATTGCGATTTATGAGTCGTTAGATGAATTAAAATAATCATATACTGTGTGGTTTCATGTCGTTTAGTTATTGAGTAACGGTAGATTCCGGCCTACTTCCAAATATAGTCTCACTGGCAAAATAATGTAGAACTGGTTGTTCGCGTACGACTTTCAAAGATTCAACAACCTACGAAAAGCATATGAAGCTAGCTAATGGTTATCACACTGAATATCTATTCCGTTACCACAATTTCAAAGTAAAAATCATGTTCATTGACACCTGAGTTATCGTAATAATTTCCTCCATCTGTAGTACTAAACACGGGACAGAAGAAATTCCAGTCAGTGAGCTAGTGAATAATTATGTGTTTAAAAGTGTTATATCGTTATAAGAATGTTCTATCTCTTTTATGTAAGTGAACACAGGTTCTCCTCATCACATCATATTCCTCTTCGGTTTAGACAAATCCAATAGGTATCATATGAAACTACTGTTTAAACGTAGTACAGTAATCGATTTCCGCTCTATGTGAATGAAGACTTATCGAGTTTAGAATTGGGTGCTTCACTTAACCAAACATTCATCAACTGAACTTCATATTCAGTTCTTATCTGCCATCTAAAACAACCTTTCATTTATAAACTTTACCAGATGCGCCCTCAGTCATTTCAGTTTCAATAACAAATATACAATACAGGAAATCAGTCTCAACGCACTTGTTTATCTGTGCAGTTTCTGGTAATTTATCAAATTCAAACTAATAAATGCTGCATTTGTTTTACAGATTACAATATTTGTAAGTCATTTGACTGTTGGAAAATCACGATATCTTTTCTTCTATCCGAACTATGCTTTGGCATCAATATTCTTATACACGGTGTTTTTCGCTAATCTATCAATCAATATTGATATATTTGACAGCATTTGTAATGCAAGTTCAATTCTCAAGTGCAAATGGACATACTAATTGTGCTTCACATATTGTTGTTTGTTTTTCTTTGTTTCATGTTGAACGTTGAGCACTGTATACATTGGAGACATGAGTAATTGCAAATTATATATGTGTTTCTATTTTCAACCAACAAAAAAGGATGTAAACGATGATTATTGACTAGCTCTACAATTTGCTCAACGTTTATGGAAATGAATAATCGTAATGTAGTTTTACATTTTACATTTACAATATGAAAATGAGTTAACATAATGTTTTTGTATTATCTTTGTTTACGATTCATTCCTTTCCTGAAGTTATTATTAGAAGGAAAGATTGTCTTTCGTCGTCATAAACTATGCTGTTCGTAGTCTGAACGTGGCACATGGTACTACCCCACACTTGGGACTTGAGCGTTGAGGCCCAAAGGGGGAATGAAAATCTATTTGACTATCAATAATACTTGTCAATGGATATTCCGAAAATAATAATTGCACAATTCAAGCTAGTTTAATGGCATGGTCAGGGTAATGTATCTACAAGAAAGTCGGTCAATCTGTAGGCTGAAAAATAGAGTGATCAAACACTCAGTTCTGACTTGAAGCGTGTTTTAATATATGAGGTGTTCCAACAGTCTGGGTAAATACCAGATTTCAGAAAAAGAAGATGGGGGATTCGGATAAACTGGTGTTGTATCAGGTCACTGTTTTTGAACGGAATGGCAGACATTCCGTATCCTGCTTGACTGTTTCAGACGCTGTATTTGACAGCTATTATGATTACTAGTTAGATAAGTGAATGAAACAGAATGTTTTGATATTCTGGTCTCATCAATGTGCTTGTTCGCCTGTTTGGAGGGGTTGCGTTATTATACAATACATCTGCACAGTGAGATACTGTGACACTTTTACTGAAAAAGAATATCACATTTTGTACTCTTGCATGACTGTTACGAGCTGCTACCAACTAATCTTTGATGGCTTTTAACCCATACATTTCCTTGATTCGGTCAAACGTATGGTTGTGTGTACAGCAGCCGCAAATTCATTTGACTAAAAGAAAAGTTTATTTGAGCGTCTAATTATATTACAGCATTTACCCGGTTACAATAATTTGATATGTTTCAACAAGTGCAGATTAACCTAAGCGTGAGTTCGTGATAGGAGTAAATATGTCGATGGTATCTTCTAGACTGTCACTTGAGAAGAAGGTATTTGAGTGAGCATGTTTGCAATCCCCACTGTGACAATTTTTCTGTGTGTAAACATTTACGCTGAGGTTTGTTTTTTTAGCTGCATAAGACCATGGAAATCATGAAAGACAAAGAGTTAATGGAATCCAGTTAGCGATAAGTGGTTGTTAGTGGAAACCGAAATTAAGTAAGTATTCTTTTGTAGTCCAAATGTGAAAATTAGTGCATATTTCATGTGACAGACTGCTTATCATCATCACTATCCAAAATTTGTGCAAATTTGTGACGTATTCAGTAATATGATACCATTCACTTGGAACTCATTCATGTTCATAGTGGTCAGTAAATTGCGATTCCTATCACTAAAAGCAAAAGATAACTGTCTATTTTGTAAGGTGTTATTCACTGAAGAAAGTTTAGTTTTACCAATCTATGACATACCATTAATTTCATGTCAATTTCGTCTTATCACTCAACGGAAACAGCCACTGGTTCAAAAATGGTTAATTTATCACTGAATAAGCAATAAACGGGTACGCGACTCAGTCCAGTGTTAGCCACTTATTCACAGACGGTTTATTTATCACTGAATAAGCATTAGATGGGTACACAATTCAGTCCGTGCGGTAGGTAGGATGATAATCAGGTGCGGATGTCTGAAAATGTGGTAATTACCTGTAGTAGCATTGTTGGGGATAGTAATGACGTGTAACAATGTAAATGAAAGCTGAGTCCTTCAACCAATATCAACAGTAATGCCTCGATAACTAAAAGGGATATTTGATCTTTTGTGTTAAAATGATGCTTTCAGTAACTTGAGATACTGGAATAATAGTGAATGATTTAGAAAAGAAGTAATTACACAAGGTTATGGAACAAATGTAGTGAGTAAACGCGAATACTAATGTGGCACTTCAAATTCATCTATTATAATAACTTGATTGATTGTTCATTTGAATTATTCGATAATTGTATCGACCAATTTATATAGTCCCAAAAATTCGATAACGGTTTCGATTACAGTCTGTCCGATTGTGTGCGTGCATGCTTACGAGCTAATTGCAAGTGGATTGTATTGTATTACTGAATACGTCAGAAATTTACCTGAATGTTGGATAGTTACCAGCCTGTCACAAGATATATGCACTTATTTTCACATTGAGAATACAATAGAATACTTAATAAGCTTTGAATTCCATTACCAACCACTTATCACCAACTGAATTCGATTAACTCTTGTCTTTCATGATTTCTATGTCTTTATGCAAATTACCAGACAAATGTGCACGCACTGGAATCTAGCCCCGATATGTATAACTAAAAAGCCTTCAATTTGGTAGAAAACTATGAGCCTTACGTATAACCGTAGTCTCAGGATAAATCAGAGTGTACCGTTTGTTAAAAGCCGTCAGTTTTGTGCAGAGAGCACATGGATTTCTGCCATGATTCGGTCTGCCGCTCCCAGCTTTATTCTAACCTACTTATACACCGCTAAATATAGCTCGACGAGTCATTCGGTGTTTAGGCATATGTAGCACATGTCCAAACCACCTCAAATGATGAGGTTTCAATATTTCATCTCTTGATATGCTATTCTTACCTAGCACTCGTTTCCTAATAGCAGCGTTGCTCACTCGGTTGTCTCAGGATATCCGAACAATGCTTCGAAGACTTCTGTGATCGAAAACCTGGAGCCTACGGATATCTTCTACTATGTCTGGCCATGTTTCACAGTCATAAAGCAGGATAGAGAGAACCACTGCACAGTACATTCTTCCTTTAGCCAGCAAACGGATATCTTGCCTACGTCATAAGTGACGGAGATTGGTGAGAGCCAATCGAACCTTCTGTATCCGAGCTGTAATCCGTCAGTCACGAGGCCATCGGCACTGATGAGACCCCCAAGATAAGTGAAGCAGTCCACACGTTCGACTACTTCACTCCCTATCACTAGTTCGGGTGCCGATGAAACCCAGTCTTGAAGCAACACTTTGCATCTCGAGGGTGAAAACCGCATCCTGAACATGCTTGCGTTGTTGCTTAGGGTGGTCAGAAGACTGTGCATTTTGTCAGCGTCTTTACCAAGTAGGACTATGTCATCGGCATATTCTAAGTCAATAAGCGAGCCACCTGGTAGTTCTACTCCTGAAAAGTCGGACGAAGATAATCTTATTTCTTGCAGCATGTCTGTGACAAAATTAAACGAGAATGGAGAAAGGGGACATCCCTAACGCACTCCACTTAAAGTGGAGAATTTCGGTGACAGTTCGCCATAAGCTCTCACTCGACCAGTGGTGTTCGAGTAGAGAGCTTGTATAAGGTTATTGTACTTCTTTGGTACTCCTTTTAATGACAGACACTGCCACAGAACCTCACGATCAACTGACTCAAATGCCACTTTTAGGTCCAGGAAGACAACTATTGTTGGACGTCCAAATGTGATTCTATGTTCCAGGACTTGTCGATGTGTGAAGATATGGTCTACACAGCCAAGTCCAGGTCTGAAACCAGCCTGGTTTTTCTAGATTCCGCCCTTCACAACCTCTAGTTAGACGTCAAATTATAATGGAGGCTAACAATTTAGAAACTATAATAGTTAGAATGATAACCCTGTGACTGTCAAAAGAAGACATTCGTCCTTTATTATAAATTGATTCAATCAGGGATTGAGACCAGTCCGATGGGATTACCTACAGTTCTCAGATTCCACCCAACCCCTGAAACTGTACTATCATACTTAAAAATCTCAGGTGTCAATCTCTCAAGTCCTACAACTTGCCTTTGCTTCAAACGTCCTATCGCTTTCTCAACTACATAAAGACTAGCAGGGGTTATATCGTTTTTCCATTCAGGATGAAAGGAGGTCGCGTGTAACCGAAGTGATGCTGAAGGCTATTCGAACTGACCCCTAAAGTGTTCTGCCTATCAGGCCAGTCTCCTGGATTGAGAATGGATAATATGACCATCCTTTTCCGAAACTGTCTAACCCACATTTGGGTTCTTAATACCAATTACCTTGATGAGTCTGAATAGTTGCCTAATGTTACATATCGCCGCTGCCCTTTTCATTACTTTTGCTTTTTCCACCCATCACTGTTGACGGTCGGTGCGTAGGCTTTTTATCAGCCCGCGTCTAAGCTGACTCCACTCCTCAATGCATTCAGAGCCAGGCAGGATGAGTTTTCGAGCATCCATCAGTTCTGTAGATGCTACTGAGATCCACGGCTTCTTCCTAGACTTATGGTTTGCCTTACTATTAGATATGACTGCCGTTTCCAATACGTTTCTTACATCATTCCAACCTGCCTCCGGATGAGAATCACTCACATGGTCGTCTATCGATTTTTCTAGTTGTTCCTGAAATATACTCTTACCTTTACTTTCATAAAGTAGAATCTTAAGAAGTTTCCTCGCGGTGTCGTTCCTACGTCTGGTGAAGCCGCAAACAAATACGCACTCGGACCAGGGCATTATCTGAATCAAAACATGTGCCGCAGAACGAGCAACAGTCCTCCATCGCACCCATACATTGGTGGCTGATGGCAATATTATCTGGTTGAGTACAACGTTGAGACGACTTCGGGGTCGACAGGTCAATTGGTGTTTTACCTTAAGCTTAAAGTTAGTGTTTGCTAAGAATAGGCGGTTATCTGAGCATAGTTGCGACAGACGGTAGCCATTGTCTGTTCTCTGAGCCGCAACAGCATAACATCCACCTAGGTGTCTTTCATTTCCACTCAGTTTACCTACTTGAGCACTAAGGTCACCAACCATTATTACTATGTCAGAGCGCCTAACTTTTTGGAGGAGGTCCGAAAGCTTTCTGTAAAACTTAACTTCCACC